ATTTGAACCGCTGAACTGCTGATCTAGCAGTCAGCCTGCAGTGCTGCATTTAACCACTGCGCCACCTTGGCTCTTCTACAATATTGCTGTTTCTTACCATCAAATCGAACTCTAGGTCTTTTCACAAACATTTCTCTCCACGAGGTATAAGGAACCATTTTATTACATGTCCTGCCCCAAACCTTCAAACAAGCCTGGCGCCAGATTTCAGGGTCCCTGGAAAAAAAGACGGTGTGATCTGATTATAAAAATGTTAACACAAACAAGAGTTTCAGAAATATTGTGTGTTATTGGTTATCAAACACTGCAAATGATGGTTGTACAGTGTCTTTAAAGGAGACTATTATTCAGTTTTGAATACATTCTGGAAAATTGCGCTTTGATAAGATTTAATTCACCCTGTTCCCCCCTTTATCAGTTTTGTATTCTGTGGGTGCATGGGCATATGCTTTTAACTTAATTAGACTAGAATCAGATATCACAAGCTAGAATTATCTTTAAAACTTCCCTCTTTCTGTATATATGACTGCATAATACATGCCAAATCAGAATAACAGAGCTTCTCATGCAAAAAAAAACTTTATGGAATACAGTAATAGGCTCAGTAGTTTTATTCAGAGGTTTAATTCAAAGTCACTTTTATCAAATCTTTGAACTGAATCAAACTGCATAGGAAAGTCAAAACAACTTTTTCCCCAAATTGATTTGAATAGTCAAATTCAATTAGCTTAACAGATGGAATGAAATTAGCTATTTGAAATGGAACCAACCTGCAGGCCTTCAATAAATTTGTCAGAGGAGAATCTAAAGGCTACTTAGAGAACCAGAGAGAAATTGCCTCAATACTGTTCCATTAATGGAAACATACAACTACTTTCCATCACTAATCTTCACACTTACATAAGTTTCTGGAGTTTTTTTAATACTTGCTGTTTATTTCATAATTTTTTATTCTCATGATTTTAAAACTATAATCTAAGGTGGCCTTAGTTTTTCAGAACAAAATTAAAAGAATTAGTCACTGAATAATTTACATTAATAAAAGCATTACTTATAACTTAAAGTTATAACTTAACTGGAGTAATAGTAATTCATTTAAACATTTTTAAGGAATACATTTATTATTTTATACTAATAGGTTTATTTCGTAACTGGCTGGGAATAATGCCTGATAAATAAGTTTTTAGTTGCTTTAGTGAAGCTTCTTCTTTAAAATACTTTGTATTATTAGTTAACTGACCACATCTTTTATCAAAAACTTCCAAAAATTCAGTAACTTTTAGTAAAGACCTTATTTTTATAACCACAAAAAATTGGTTGTCACCGCTTATTTCAAAAATCCTAAAATTACTCACTTTTATCCGGATAAATGAAATTTTTATTGCATTATAGTTTCAATTTTACCTGGCACAAATGTAAAAACCTCTGCAGACCAGTGATAACTGTTCTAAAGATCTCAGGTCCAGATCACTGGAAACTACCCATCGAAAAATATACATTAACAGCTCCATAGGCAACACTATGGAAAAAAATGTAAAAATTAGAATAATTCCAGTAGTCTGATTTGGATCCACGCTAAAAAATAAACCCAATGCGGGGGAGGCTGTTGGCATCCAAATTACTGGCTTGGGATGTAATGTAATGCTGCTATTAGTTCTCCTCCCTCTTATAGCCCTTGGCACCAAAAGCAAGCAAGAAACAAAAAGCAACTGGAGAATCACTGAACTTTCCAGAGTAAATTTGCGGGTGATATGAGAGGTTTTAAGGAAAGGGCCCTTCGGCTTACAAGGATGAACAAAGGATTCCACTCTTAATGTGGTACTGTATTATACTAAACATTAATGCATCTTCAAATATAGTATGTTTTTAAAAATTACATTAAGCATGATATTTTCATCCAAACAATTATTTTTGCAGGTTGCTGAATCTTTCATAAATCATTCATTTTACAAAAATAATTACTCTACATGTCAACATGTTTAAATGTATTGTAATAACAATGGATATGAATATCTAAAAAAGAAATTTTCTCCTTTCAATTTCAGATAACAAAATATATGGTAACAGTACATATTTTATTTTTTTAATTGTTAGATTTAGAATTTTAGAACAAGCAATTGCAGCAACTGTCACAATTAACAGATTCTTTTTATAAATCAGCATTTAGTTAGGAACCCAGTGAAATTCAGTACAAAACGTGTTATAATTTATATATTTCTATAGATCCCTACATTTAGAATATATTTCTTATGCTAAATGTATTTACTACCAGAAAGCATTATGTTAAACCTGCAACATATATGAATTGTAACAATGAAGAAGGAACTATTTTATTGCTAAAATCTATACAGTTCCTATTAAACATCTCAAACTATTTTCTCCTGTTTAGCATGGTTTCTGAACATCCCTGTCATGATCTTCTATACTAAAATATGCCACTAATTTCCTACAGAAAATGTTCTTTTACCTGAGATGTGAGTCTGACTCAGATTAAGCTCAGGCTGACATAGTTTGATGGATGATTCCTGAAGAGTGAGTTGTTGAAAGTAAGAGAGAAGGTCAGCCATTTTGCTATCATCTTCATTATCTTCAATGCTACAAAACACAGGCATAATATGAGACCAGAAAATCATAATACAGGTAATCCCCGGGTTACGAGCTTTCCCTTAGCAAACGTTCAAAGTTATGCAATAAGTGTCCCCTAGCGATTACGAACAACTCCCAAAACTACCGTGTTTCCCCAAAAATAAGACATGTCCTGAAAATAAGGCCATGCCAGATTTTCGAGGCGGGCAAAAATATAAGCCATCCCCCCAAAATAAGCCCTAGTGAAGGGGTGGGTTTAGCAGCCCTTCCCGCGGTCACCTCAGGACTTCTTGGCCCTTTAATCGGATCAGTTGAGCTGCTCCATTCACAAAACAGCTGATTCGTGGGTGCTGCTCAGGCCTCTGCCTCCAGCAAACGCCAGTCGCTTTTGCGGTTGCAAAAGAAGCCGGAGGTCAAACAACACAACCCAAATGCCCCAGGCCCTCCTTACCTAATGGCAACAGTCACAGCAGGCAATTCCGTCCGCGGAACAGGAAAGGGAGGCATGGAAATCAATACACCTGGGACATCGGAAGAAGCCCTGCAAGGAGAAGCTGCTGCTGATGTGCAAGAAATCCCCCCCACACACACCTGAAGATCGTCCTTTCAAAGAGAGGTTTCACCTGGATGAAGGCGACACAAATGCCACCCTCAGCCACCTCTTCGTCTGGTGAAACTCCTCTTTGAAAGGATGATCTGGGGGGGGGGGATTTCCTGCACTTCGGCAGCAGCATCTCCTCGCAAAGCTTCTTCCGATGTCCCAAGTGTATGGATTTTCACGCCTAAAGGAGGTCGCTTCTCACCTGCATATTCACATCGAAGGCTCGAAATGAGGCGTTTTTGCAAACGGCTTGAAAATGGGGAGGGGGAGATTTCCCTTCCTCTTACCCTGTTCTGAAGCTCAGCACAGACTCAGAACAGGATAAGAGGCAAAAAACCCCACCCTTTTCCTGGCAATTGTTCTTTCCTTGGGATCTCAGTGCAGACGCACATCCCCTAAATGCTCTATCCGAAGCCTTCTCTGCATCCGTGCAGAGTTCCCAAGGAAAGGATGGTGTGTGGGTGTGTAAGAGAGAGATCCCTAACCCCCTACTCCCAAGGCAGCCACATCCTTCCTCTAACCTGATTTCCTGCTCCCACTGCCACGTGCAGGGCAAGAAAAGTAGTTTGAGGGGCCACTTCCAACTTCGCAAGATCTCCCCCCCCCCCGGAGAACTTGGAAGGTATTTTCGGTATTTGTTTTTACCATAGGCATACAGTCTACTTTTCTTGTCCTGNGCATGACTAAACGCCAAAGGCGCACGGAACGCTGTTACTTTCCCACCAAAGGTGGTCCCTGTTTTTCTACTTGCATTTTTTACATGCTTTTGAACTGCTGGTTGGCAGATCATGTGCTGAAAAGCATGACAGTTTTTTTTTCTCTTCAAATTATTATCTTTAAATTGGAAAGTCTTGTTATATTTTTTAAATAAAGGCTGTTGTGCAAACAAGGATGGTAGGAAAGAGATCATACAAGAAACTGAATTCAACAGAGGCAGGAGAGAGAAAGAAGGATCCCTGGTGTTTACACACAGATTAGTTCTTATTCTTAGTGAGACAAGAGTTACATAAGTAGTTCCTTCTTCTCTCATTCTCCACTGCAGGCTCACCTCAACATGTGAAGGGCAAGAATGGAATAGGCGGGACTAGTACAGTTTTGCACTATTCTCCTTTAAGTGTGAGGAAATGGTCACATATAGAGTAGGCATAATGTCTAAACAGGGCAAATGCTAGGCCGACTTTGCTGGGAATAAAGCATTTATACACACATGCCTAAAGGCTTCAATTGAGCTTTTTGCAATCTTTCTCTTGTCTTTTCTTCCTTGTACTCTAATCTCTGTATTAGTTTATTTCCCTCCTTCTCTCATTTCACTTTTCTTCATTTCTTGTAAATGTTTCTTTCCTTCATGACATTTCCTCTACAGTACTATTCCTTTTTCGTTTCTGTCCAACAGAAAAATACTTAGGTGTTTGCATACACAGAAAAAAGTGAAGGCGAAAGGGGCTGACGTCGTGATGGCACGACATGCGATCTTGGTGTTCCAAGATCGCAGTCGATATTTCTGCCACTGGATGGTCCATTCGGACCTAAACCGTCCCGCAGAGACAGTGATTGAGAAAGGCACCTCCTGCTCATCTCCGAGACAGCGCAAAGTCCCTGAAAGATCCAGGAACAGCCTTTTTTTCCGGCAACAGAAACGCAGCTAATTGGGGCAGCTCCAGAACAGGAATAAAGCGAAAAGAGAAAGTGTGTCGAATTGGTGAGGAAATTTTATTATTAGAAAAAGAGACTACCCCCCCCCCAAAAAAAAAATTAATTTAAATTAAAATTGTAGATAGAAGACAATAAGCGATGAAATTAATCTACATTAAACTTAAGTGTGTTATCCTGTTTCTAATTTTTTTTTATGGATGGAATTTTTGCAAAGGCTCCCTATTTTTTTAAACTGAATGGATTATGTTTTCTTCTTCCTGCTGCGCCATTCTTCCAATTCCAGCCTCTAAGTGGCAGTGTAACTGCTTTTCCTCCTGT